CGCGAAATTCAAAAACAAACCTTAAATAATTAATTTTCAATTCCTAGTGCAATAGTCAAAATAAACCCATTTTTAGTATTATGGGCGTTAACATACAATCAATCAATAATCAAAAAATGCAATCTCCGCCTGTTAATTTTTTAACATGTAAAAAACAATTACGCATAATTCCGAAAAGTCTCTTCGAACACAACCAGACGGTCTTCAATACGTTATATAATCCCGAGATCGTTTACTGAACCCGAGTGTCATTTAGTTACAGCGTTTTATCCTTTTGCAGGTCAAGGTTTACGGAATTTCTACGTCATCAATGCCCAAATAAAGGGTGCAACTGACCGATGGCTCAAGTCTTTTGGCCAGTGATTCACGTAGGCGCGGCATTGAGAAGGATCTTTTTATACAACTAAAGACAGAAAATATTGAGTAGAGTTACTTTGACTAGCATATACTTGTCCACAAGAAGAAGTCTTATTTTAAAACACAACAAGGTAACCATAGCAATGTATTTTTACTATAAAAAACAACTATCGTTTTTCATCTAATGGTTTCTCAAGTAAGTTCTTATCTTTTATAATAAAATTTATTTGTTCAAACATCCAATTAAAAAATTAAAAGTAAGAACTATAATGACACAATTTTTCAGTAAAGCTGCAATGTCTGTGTTTGTGAATACGAGCCCAGCTCAAGCTGTATGTTGAAGGGCCTGCCATCTAGGGATACAATACGCAAGCACTCGTTTAAATTAATGTTACGACTAATTAACAGGCGCGTGGACGTTAACTTGTTGGTTAATTTCGTGCCAATTAAAGAAGACTATTTCCTTAACTTCGTTTAAGTCGTACAACCTGTTACGGCTGTAGTTATTTAATAAAATATTGATTGATAAATCTACATCTATCAGAATGGTTGGTTTGATTTGATTTACATTCTAGAGAAGTTCAGGTTCTCCACCATCCATTTATGGAGTCCCATCGCATCACGTTTGTCCTTGCGCAGTCCTGGTGACGAGAATTATCCACTATCACTTTTTATTTTATTATTTGTGTCTATTTTATTATTATTATTTTTTAATACCAAGTAAATAAGACTACATAATTAAAAGGAGTATAACGTTAAAATAATTGGATAATAAATGACTTATTAATAAAACCAGGGCAAAGCCCTAAAAAGGCTCTCTTCTTAAGGCTGGGCCCTGTTTCTAGTCTGTTATATATTATGCAATTATTTTAACATCGCGTTACTTTTAATTGTATACATATGCACAAGTGTCGGCTTAATTAATTTAATTAAGACCTACTATTGTAGGTTGAGGAGTTTGGAACAGGTTCTCCTTCCTCCAATAAACTCTTCAACGTCCTTCTAGGCCTAATTCAAGTTAAAGTAGCATTAGTCCTTTCCATTTTTTAAATAACAAGGGAAGAAGTTACTAAGCTAACATTTCATTCCTTTTCTCGTTCTTCTTTGTTTGTTTATTTGTTGTTAAGTGTATATAGTAGCAATAACAATAATGATCTACCCAGCATGCGATTCGGCAATTGTATAAATAATGAAATATTAAACAGTGAACTGTCAAGCATAAAAATCAAGCGTTAAGGCCTGATACGCCCGTGATTTTCTGATTTTAAATTAATTTCTGTTAGCTTCAGTGATTGTATCCCGGCCCGGCATGGCCAGGTGGTTAAGGCACTCGACTCGC